TAAAAATTGGTCATTGATGTCAGAACAAGGACCTTAGACCCAAAACTCTCATTACTTCTATTATTTTGCAAAACTAACTTAATCGTCAGACGGGTCGGGTTGGAAAATCTCCACACCCCCACCCTCAACATAACTTCGACCGTTAATGCAAAATCTTTGAGGAAACTAAATTCTATCCCAGCCCAACCTTAGAATGACTTCGGACACTTAGAGATGCCCCTATCACCACGAGGGCCACCTAGACGATCTAATACCTTCAGGATAAGATCAAGTTGTACCAATACTCAATTGATAACATTTAAGCTATAATATTTTAACACTAGAAAGAGAGTCATGAGTCCTTTGCTCTCTTGGGGGGAGTACTGATAAGAATATTTAGTTTCACATTAATTGAGAAGTTGATATACCAAGGTTTATAAGCCCTCTAAGTCAACCTTACCCTTAAAAATATCTTTTAGGGTTTATGAGTTAAAAAAAAAAGATAAAATTATATAGATATATTTAAATAAAGATAATACTTTATGAGCGAGAATTACACCTACGCTATCTTATCACTCTCTTTTTATTGGATAAAATAATAAAAAAAATTATTATAGGAGACAAGGGCTACTGGATATACTCAGCTATTCTATTAAGCACGATGTTGGATGTTCCACACCTATGATTTGGTCCTCTTAATTATAAGGATAAAAGGATGCATTTTGTCCTAAGATATGTCATTAACATTAAACCTTAAATTAACCAAGAGAAGCATTTTGTCCTAAGATATGTCATTCACATGAAACCTGAAATTAACCAAAAGAAGTTGTACCAAAAAGAAATTCCGATGAATCACTTGGCTCTCATGCATCGTGAAGTCAATCGAAGAAATAGTTCTTTGGATTTAGATGATAAGCTCTTAGTCACTATCCTATATCAACTCCAGCATGAAATCGATTAGTTTCAGGTAAAATTAAACCATTCAAATAAATTCTATTATTCAAATAGGGGACTAAGTTTTAGCTGTAACGTCACATTAATTCATTTTATTTGTGGTAATATAATGATTAATTTACTCTTTCATGCAGGTCGACCTCGATGATCCTATCTACAAAGTTATATCCATTTGATACTTGAAATATCATATTCTAACACATTATATAACTTGTTTGATTTCGGTCTCAAGTTATGTTTATAGAATAAGAGAAGAAAAATACGTCAAATCTCCGATGACTGTGTGTTGGATCATCAAGCTTAGTTTATCTTTTTTTGAAGTCAAATCTCCAATCACAGGAAAGATGACATCAAGAACAATGGTGGCAGAACAAGGCAACTCCGTGAGCTGCTGAGGCGAGACATCGATGGCGTTTCACCCTTCAGGGCAAGAAAATGACAATAGTTGTGGTTCACATAAAGAATCTCTCCTTCCTTATGCACGCTTCAATCGTAAACTTGGGTTATGGATGCCTGAGATGGTTCACGTGCACTCCATGGCCACACAGGTTTGTGCGTTCTTGAAATCTTGTGCCCTACCAACTTGAGGAGATGAATTATGTGGCCATGGATCATTTCTCGTCAAGGTAACGGAAAATGGTTGGCTTGATTCTGCTACTTGAGACTGCATACTAATTGCAGCGAGCAGCATTGCTTGCAGAGAGCTTGTCTTCTCCATTGATGGAGACGGTAAAACTCTTGTGTTCCTAAAGCCTTTTTATCTTGAGCTGTCTCCTCCGCTTATTGTGGCTGTAGGCATGGACAAGGAGCAAAAGCTTGAACCTGTAGGCATCCAGGACCACGCACAAGTGGATTTGAGACAGACTGCAGTAAGAGAATGCAAGAAAACAAGGGTCATACAATGAAGTAAAAACAAGGTGGAGGCCACATTTGTGTTCAGAATTCATCTTGTAGTCGCTGCTACAGCTGTTACTATGTTGTGTACTCTTTGACCGTCTTCCTCCATGATTCTGGCTGTGTGTGTGAAACAAGTAAATTAGGACTTGAAAGAACTTCGAACTGTGAGCAGCATCTGCTAAGGAGTTTCAAGAAATTTACAGAGTATTAACCTTAGGTGGTCAAGATGCCTCCTGTCTGTATGACACAGGAATTCAGTGCTCATTCCACATTATTCCCTCATCATAAGATATGGCCTGTACATGATGAGGTATGAGCCTTGAGTCCTATAATGTCATCAACAAAATCTGCTTCTTGTCATCTCTGCTTGATTCAGAAGCATTCAATCCAACGTTTCAGTATGCTTTTTGTGCTGATAGCTTATGTCTTATGCTGTATCTATGTCCACTAAACTAAATAGATTCCAGACCATGGATAGAACACTCTGCTCATGGGCTATTCTGATGTAGCACAAGCTTCCGGGTGTGGAGTTGAAGTAGCACCAAGAAGACAGACATGAAACAAAGGTTCACTTGAACTTGTCCCAGAGTAACGGAAAGATCAGGGAGGCCTACCTCTCAGAAACGACAGATTGCCTCTTCTTTCGACGAAGGGCATTCGCAGCGACAGTCGCTGCTGTAGCAGCAGCATCAACCACATGCATACTTATGAGTCGGGCACTCCAAGGAGAAGGCAAATATAAATCTTTCTGATGCCCAGTAAATGTAGGCCACACCTAAATGTCAGATGGAAGTCCTAAATGAGAAGAAAGGTTATGTTAATGGATGGAGGGGTCAAAGCAAAAATAATGATGCTGAAGCTAAGTGGAGAAAAGATAACACAACAGAGCAACATGACCATACTGTTTCCCTACAACCCCAAGAGACCATTTCAAAGCTTTAATTATACTCATCTTCATGATCTTTACAGAAATACCTGATACATTTGATGGGAGATCAATGAGAAACCAGGCCAGGTCTCATTCTGTGGAACATGGTTTCCTATTTACTTGTTTGATATTTGAAGGAGACGAAGGTAACACAGTATCACCTGCGAATAGCTGGAGTCGTTTTGGTGACTGTGGTGATGAAGAAACCATTTTGCTCTTCTGGGCCTTCGGGAGATGAGGTAGCAACAGGAGAAAGAGACGGAGCACAGGCTTCTATTATATCCTTGTTCTTCATAGACCCGCTACTACTGTGATCCTTGAGTTCTTCTTCCAGCAGTGTCTTCCTGTACAGCTTCTCCTCTGCATCCTTGAGGAACTTCAACTTTGGAGGTGGGGAGGACCATATCCAAGTCAAACCATCTTCGTCCGAGGGTTCGAAGAGTGGGTTGAACCCATTTTGGCTGTAACAAGCCATGGGAGTCGGGGATGAGGAGAAGAAAGGCGGGGAGGACAGAGGTGTCAAGATTGGACTCTCCGCTATGAGAAGCAGATCTCGCAAGCTCTTCCCCACTCTGTATCTCACGTCCTCTGACACCAAGTCCTGCTGTGTCTCTTCTGCGATGGTGCAGAGAGACCTCGGAGGACCTGCAAGGCGGTGAAGCCTCATGAGCTCTGCTTCCACTGTGTCTTCTTCTCCAAATGGCTTCCAGAGCAAATCTCTGGTAGAGTTGGAATCGAGTTGCTCTTCATCAGAAGGAATTGCTCCGATCACAGACACGCAGATTTCTTGGGGATTGAGATCTGCAGAGCTCGAAAAAGAAGATTTCTTCCAACAAAACAAGTCTCCATCAATTTTTCTCTTCTTCCACCAGAAGAAATAGTATAGTTGCGCGACAACGGCCAAGAACAAGCAACCTGAGACAAGACTCAAGCCAATGCCCAAGCAACCCAAAGGTCTCATCTCTTCCTTAGCATTTCTTGACAGGAATCTGCCCAAAGATCACCACCCTTTTCTTCAAATCATCAGCAGAGAATTTGAAGCAGGCAAGTACATAACAAAGCACAGATTGAACCCTCCAAGAACTACTGGGAATGGATGGAGGCAGAGGAAGAACTAATGAAGGACGAAGAAGACAAATTCAAAATAACAAAATCTTCACCACAAAGATAAGACAATGGAATCAAGCAGGAACAAAGAATGAACTCATGCAAAACAAATTCTTGCTTCCTCCCAAAGACAGACCAAGGACCACAGACACTAAGATGATAAAACCACGAAAAGATTACACCTTTACCATCAAGGTGACAATCTGCGACCAATCACCCGTGACTACCATCCCAAAAAATAAGGGCACAAGAAAATTTTCGAAGTCACAAACTCTAAAGCCCAACTCTCAGAAAGCAATCTGACAAGTGAAACAAGACCAAGATCAAACCTTTGTCATCAAAATCACATTTTGAGAACCATCGTAGACTTCCTTAGCTCCCAAAAACCATCTTCGACCATCACCGCAAGGGATTCCTCAGCCTTAGATCAGAAATACCACCAACCATAAAAGAAGCCATCATGGAGAGCCAGAACATCGGTGCCCAAAACTTCCTGTGGCTTTTTCCAGAGTTTGTTTGATACCCTCGAGAGTGCCTCATGTGGGCTAGGGAAGGATGGTGTCGTTTCTCCAATGCCATGAGACCAAAACAGGGCATTCGCTACGGTGCAAATACTGTGTCCTCACAGACAAAAAGTACGAATTGCGAGCAGTCGATTTCGAAACTAAGGGCTGCGATTAAACCAATTACTTCAACCAATTGCTTGGGCATAATCCGCATTCCAGGTTGAGGGAAGGAGTAAATTGAAACGCGCGACGTGTTGGATGCGGTCTCTTTGATGCCTTGCGTTCTCCACTAGAGCAGAGACCAGCGAACTGCAATGTTTTACATATTACTCCTTGTATAGTTTGAGAATATCATATTTAACCCTATAAGAATGAATTATAAGGACTTTAGTATAAAAGAACAAGATTCAGAAATTGTTTGTATAAAATAAAAGGATATGGAGGACTAATGTAGAAACTGATAGCAGAAATGAAGGGTATTCTTTGCGAAAAATAAAGGTTATTATCGTAATTACAGATTCCAAAGGAAAAGGGTTTCGTTTGAAATAAGAACAAAGAAGGGTTTATTATGTAAAAGAATTTTTTTCTAAAGAGGAACGCGATAGCGAATTAGGGAGAAGAAGAATGGCTCCTTTTTTATTAACGATTGCTACGATCGTCTTCTTCCTCCAACATTTCCATTCTTCCATCAACAGAAGAGGTCGCAGATAAAAGGCGGGAGCTGATTTATCAATATGAGTTTTATCTTCCGCAAGGAGAAAACCCCAGCAGGTGATCTTTCCATCGTTACTCCATCTTCTGATTTGACCTATGAAGAAAGGACGCACCAAAAATCCGTTCTTTTTCTTGGGACTTATGGTTTTTTTTCTAGAATAGGTGGTCTTTCTTTGGTGTGGCCATGTTTATCATTTTCTTTTACTGGTCGATTAATCTGATATTGTTTCATTCATACGATACAATTCTATATCTATGTGAGAATTCTTAAAAGAAAGTGGTCGTAATTTTGAAAATTTATTGTCTTTTGTATTCTATCAGAGCTACTGCTGGGGAATAAGAGAATGTTTGATAGATCAATCAGGGACATTGAGAGGAAGAAGCAAGGGCTGCAAGCAGAGGAGGAAAAGCTCATCGCTGAGATGGTACAACATTTTTAGGGGTCACTTGATTTTCTAATTCAGGAAATTTAATTATCGAATTTTGTAGTTTTGCCTCTTATGTGCTTATCCAAATTCAACATTTGTACCATCATGTGTTTGTCTGGTGTAAGCATTAAAGGGTGAACTATCTTTTCATTAATTATGGTAATGGATGAGGAAAAAAAAGTGGTGGCGAAGGAAAAGAGGAGGGGAGAAGTCAAACAAGGGGGAAAGATAGTCAGTTTTCTACATATTACTCAAGTAGTAGTAGTAGTAGTATCATGATTTATTTAGTACCGATTGCAGAGTTATATTTGATGATATTGAGGCCTCCCGGATGCATGTCTGCTGCAGTATGTTCAAATTTTCATGGCAGGCTAGGGGCAAACAACATTTCTGTTTGGTATTGACATAGTTCTATGGAACTTTTTATTTCTTCAGAAGTTTCAAATGCAAAGTACTCAGGTTTGGTCCAGCACATTGCAAGCATGCCTTATTTAACAACAATTTGCGATGTAGTGCAGTCAAGCAGGTGTTGAAACATGTTGGCAAGAAGGGATTTTGTTTGAAAATCTTGAACTGATTCTGTTTTAGATATATCACAACAAGAATTAGAAGCATAATTAACACTCTGCAGTCAGCTTTACTTTTGATGGTGGATCAATATCGTGATGCTTGCCCAAGCATACATCATGCTGCAGTATGTATGAAAAAGAATATGTAGACCACATGTTTTATGGTCATTGTCATCTTCATATATTGATTTCAAATTATTATCTCATTGAACTTCTTAATTTCAATTTATTCTCGTATTCTCATAGAAATTTCTTCTGGAGAATCTAAGTTCCACTTGCTAGCTTCATTTGTGTATCAAGATTATTTAGGAGAAATTCTATAGCAAATATGGAAACAGGGAATAGATACTTTGGTAAGAAATGTAGTTTCATGCTGCTCTATATTAAAAAGTTCAAGCTCACTCTGCATAACTTATAAGATCTTTCGATCGTATTTGATTATTACCTAAAGATTCTACGTTTGACTTCTAGTTTTCCTATTTCTAGTATCTTTTACAAACCTCTGGGAAGTTCAATGCTTGGTTGGTCAAACTATTTTTCTGTTTCATTTTCTACTGAAGAATTCATATGTTTTAGATGTTGAATCTTCTTTTCCACCTTCTCTGGGCGATAACTGTACTTAATTGATCTTCAATCTAGTTTTCTGTATTTCCTACTTAAATCATAACTGTCCTATTATATGTGATTGTTTCTTTGCTCATTGTATATGAATCCTGCTACAGGCAGCTGTAAAAGTCATGACAAAACATCTTATCAGAACAAACATCAGATTACAAAGTTTTATGCCCTCAATCACAGCTCCAAGGTGTATCTCTTAGAATTCAGGTACGTTTTGGGCTTTCACCGTAGATTTTTGTGTCACTGTGCTACATAATGATTATGTTCTTTATAAATTAAAATGCAAATCTGACATAAAGCAAATTATGTTATATTTTTTTCTTATTTGGAGTCTGATTCTTATTATTTGCATTATGCAATCAGCTTACTGGAACACACTACTAGGATAAGGTTATTGGCAGCTTTTAATGAGATCTCTGTTGCAGAGGTAATGCCAAAATCTTTACACATGCTGACTTAGGATAAAAAGTCATTTGTCAAGTTTCAATCTGTTAAAGATTTCTTCGCCACTGATCTTGTTAATTTAAGCTATATGGAAACAGTATGATGGATTTCTTAGATAAATGTCAAGGAATGTATCAAATGATCACTTTGTGGAGAGTGAAACAATGACAAGTAACTAATGGAGATTCTGGCATATCTGGAGGGTCCTGTGGATTTGATACAATTAAATTGGAAATGGTATTATTTGATGAGAAACTCATTATAGGAAATCCTAAGGATTTGGAAAGTTTCAGGGTTAATGTGGAAACTACTAACACCATTTTTTCAATAAGAAACTATGCTTCATTAAATCATACAACTGCAATTGTATGATTATAAGGCTTCCAAGGCTTCAACTCACTGTATTAACTATACCATCTTGTCAATAATTTGCACCTCTATTTTTCTTCAATCATTCATTGTTTTGAATAACTCAGCTGAGTAAAAGTTGATCTTGATTCAGTTCATATGGAACTCCTTTTACAAAACTGGATTTGGGTACAAATGGAATGAACTAGATATGGTTGATTGTTTATGTTCAACTCTTCAAACAGACGATACCATGGAAGAAGATGAGGAAGATAAGAAGAAACAAACATAAAGAAATGTATACAATCTGAAAAATAGTTATTATATTTTCATTGGTGGAGAAGATGTAGAACCAAGGACAGAAGCATCAAACGGAGTCTTGTAAATAAAAGAACAAGAGCCTGCCAGGAAAACAGGATCAAGGAAAGAGTTTCTTTAGGCATTTAAAATTTGTTCGAGAAATTTCAGAATTATCATTCCATCATAATTTTGGAGGAAATTAATGGATGATTTTGCATTAATCTACTTTCGCTTTTGAATTTTCAACTCATAGATGGAATCTGCTAGGAGGTTGGCAAAGCACGGATTTAGGTGTAAGAGTGTCTACTGGACTCTTGATCTAAAAAGTTTACAGGGAGCATTTGATCGACCTTTTTATGAATGTTGATATTGTATATTCAACACACAATCATCCACCAGTTCCTTTTCAGTGCCCCAGGGTATATATATCACATGCTAAATAGGCAGTGCAAGATATTTGTAGAAGTTGTAGCTGGATATGGTATTCAGTGTTTCTTTGTTTTGAGAAATTTTCCATTGTTTCTACTTGGTTGTGCCAGAATTTACCTGACAAAAAGTTCTGCATTTGATTTGATTCCCTTCGTGATCAGCATCATCACCACTGTCTTCATTTGAAAACAGAAATTCATTTATTTCTTTTTATTTCTAAGAAGCATAATAAGGTGCTGAAGTTTTTTTAAATGTGTTCAATGGACAAACACCTTTGGTGTCAGATACTGTGATAGGATAAAGAGCATACAAGCAAGGAAGCACATGTTTCAATGATTTGGTGGAAGCAAGAAACCTAGCAGAGTTTGATGTGTCAGCATGGAAAAAGTCTCTCACTGCAATTGAGTCGGGTCTGGATTTAGTAGCTGGCACACCAGTGAAACAATTCATATACCAATAATATCAAGTCATGGACTTGACCACAAACTAACCTAAAACCTAAACTGCCCACTATATGTCCACCTGTTGTACCTCAAATCAACTAAGAGATTCTTGCCTCTTGTGGTTGCTTTTTGCAGGAATTGTTGGTGAGGACCTACAAGCCCACATGAGATTCAGATGTATACATAAAGAAGGTGGAATGAACAGGTGATCCTTTTTTACGAAATCTCAGATCTCCTGAACATGAAAGATGTTTTACGAGTGAATCAATATATGAAAGATTGTCATTACGTTTAAGGTAATCTGAGATGTTTCATGAAGGTGGTCAGTGTGCTTTGTTGCAGACAGTTCAGGAGCAAGGTTGTGTGCAGTTGCACCATTTGGAAGATGGCTCAAATGGTGCTGCCCACCTGCATATTCATGGGGCTAAAAAGATCCAATAAAAGCTTTGGAGGTGACAGAACAAAGCTAAAGATCACCCCTCAGAATCTTGGTGTCTCTTTGAAGAGCATGGGCATGATGAACGAAAGGCTTGCGGATCCTCTCCACTTGCTTGGACATGGATTTGCAGCGGCACTCTCTGCAGGCAATGCAATATTTCCCCAGCCATCCGACTCAGATATCTCGCACATTGTGGTGGTACCTCATCTGCAGTGGCAACTCAGCGTAGCCACCAAGGAAAGCATCCTCCATCCACCAACAAAAGATGAATGATTGATCTGATGCCAAGCAGTGTTTGTTGTCTTCGAGTGAGATATTCGAGTCACTCGAGCACTTCTCATAGTTCTTTTAGGTGAGAGGAAAGTCGTACAATGTGCTTTGCCATCTCCTCCGTGGAGAAGGTGAGTCGTACGTATACAACTTAGCAGCGTCTCTTTCTGTGGGTGCTACGAGACTGTGTGCCGGAGCTGATCACAGTAATCTGCAGATACGACTCCTCTCATGGTAAGATTTGAAGCATCACCGAGTGCAGCTGTCAGATGATGGAAAAGCTCAATCACAGTCTCGCCGAGTGCATTCACCTCATCACCTCATTTTCCACAACAATGCCGTATTAATCAATCCGTTCGGTGGATGTTAATTGACAAGCACAAATTCCAGTGCCACTAAGATGCTTCTTCATTCTCCTTTTTGTACAAGTGGGTGTCTTTTCCACAGAGTGACTTCAGTTTCTTCGATGACAATCCACTTTAGGCATCTCTGATGTCCTCCGCAAGAGGTTTTCCTTCTTTCCCCAGAGACTATATTATTACACTGTGGACCAGAGATCAGCCAACAAAAACAGCGGAGAAAGCCAATGGCCGCCAGTCTCCTCTCTAAACAAAAAGATTATAGTCTCTCTAAACACGAGAGACTATTTGTATCAACAAACGAGTTCATCAGAGAAAATGTGTCTTGTACAAGATTGACAGTTTTCCATGGAGTGTACAGACTCCTTCAAAATATGTACCGCAACCATAGCATCCAACTTGATCCAGTTCTTTTGCATCCCATCCATCCCTAAAGGGTACGCATAAAGCCCTTCTTTCGCAGCAAGCAATTCGATATAAACACTTCCTTTTCCACTACAAGGCTTCCCACCTTTAAGAACACATTAATATGTATTAGTCTGGATTAAGAAACCAAGACTATCTCCTCTCGACTTGTACCAACCAAGAGAGGAGAGGTGTGTTCCTCAGCAAGAGTTCGACAATAATTTGGCATGCGGTGCTTGTCATTGGCCACCATATGGTACACGGATCCCGTTCCCACTCGAAGATTGGCTGTAACCTGCGCAAGAAAAATCAACACAAATCCTCCCCTCTAACATCTGTCGGATGCTTTTTCTTCCGAAATAAAACCCTAGCAGTAGGTGGAAGGGAAGCCTCATGTGGTACGCTCAGGTCATATCCAGTGGAACGCATTCTTTCGGGTCTCACGACAAATTCATGCATCGGGTGTCGCCTGCATCTTGTCCTCGGGAAAACGCCAGGAAGCTTCGACTTGGCCTGCTTTCTCCTCAATAATGACGCACTTCCTCCCCGGTTTGTGATTCGAAGGATTTGCTGTCGCTGCAGGCTTAAATTATATGCAATCATACGCCTATTATATGGATGAAAAGTCAAGCCATTAAGGCCTTTATATGCAATCATACGCGTATTATATCGATGAAAAGCCAAGCCACTAAGGCCCTTTAATAACAGCATTGGGAACAACTATAAGATGGAAACGTACGTACGTACTGTGCCTGCATGATAAGAGCGCACGATGAGACGAAGTTAAATCCACTTCATTTCAGTCACCATTGGCTGTTCGTCGTGATCTTGCTTTATCATTATGGCACTAAATTATACGCTGAAATGACGGCTCGTAGATGACTTTTAGAACAATCATGATAAGTTATTCTTCTTTTAATGAATTAAGTCAAAAACCACAGGAGCTGTTGTTAGATGAAGAGATAAGGTACGGGTAAGAAGACAATTTCAATCTCACATCAGCTGTAACTGTAGTTGCTTGGTCAAAAGAAATGGCTCCAGAAATCACGCGAGGAAGGCATCTGAGTTCTACCACCATTAACTTGCTGGATTTGCATGAAAAGTTTGACCAGAATTCCTTCCCGGGGAATGCGTCCTCCTCAGTCGACCTCCACGAGGAGCTTTTGAATAGTGAACAGATTCCCAGGAGATAGGGTAAACTTATCAGTACATGACTGCACCAGCAGGCAACTGGGGCGGCTTGGCTTTTTCTCCATGCTTCCTTGTTCATCTGACCCTTGAATCAGTGGGCACCTTTGAAGCTTGTTGATGCTATTCTCTCCCCCCCTCCCCCCCCCCCACCTTGCACACAACGGGTTGGAAAGATGTCATGGTCCACCAACCCCACCCTGATAGGTTGCTCTCGTGATCAAGGAAGAGCAGAAAAAAATATGAGACTTCCCTTGGCGTCTCTTTCGGCTGCCTAAACCTTATCACCATTCCTCGCAACAGAGATACGGACTTCGACTGATAAGGTCATGTTTCCTTTTTGCATATAAACCCTTAATAGTTTCAGTTTTTTTCTCTTTTGCATGTTTCGCTAAACATTTACTTATCCAACTTTACTTATTGAAGACCAATGATGTAAAAAGATTGCATCATCGATCGCCAAGCTTTCAAGTTGCAATGAATGATCGATTATTAGGTTGAAACAAGTTTAATGAAGCCGCCGTTAAGTGAAATATTTCGTTGAAAGCTTCTTAGAAATGAATTATTAATATTATGTTGATGCAATTATGAAGGTAAAATAGAGAGATTCGGTATCTTCTATGGTGCAGCAGCAGCATTATCCAGTTTAACATGTGATCTGCGTCCATCAGATGCTGAGATTCACACGGAGGCATGATCAACGGACGGATCGAGTGTTAGAGTCGTCGGCAAGAGTCGAGGTACTTTTTCTGAAAGATAAGTATTATTATGGGCTTTTGTGCAAAATCGTGCAAATGTCACGGTAACCCTAACGGCGGTGGTAGGTGTCATCCGGTGGAGGGCGCTTCTTAAGAGGGGCTCTTTAAACGGAGCACGGGACCGTTTCGCTCCCCCTTCCAACGCGCTCCCCCGTTTATTCCTTCTCGCCGCCCGAATTCGGCGAACGGAAACCTAGAATTGGGAGCAATGGTGGATTTGAGGCTCACAAGGGGCTTCATATTCTTCGAATTGGAACCCTAGCTACCTCCCCTTGGATCCAATAGGTAATCTTGAATCGACCCTGATCCGTTCTTCCCGGCTTTTCCGGGTCGTGAATCTTCCCCTTTTACCTATCTTTTCTGATGCGTAGAACTGCAAATTAGATGTTGTTCTTCATCTTTTTCTTGTGATGTTCCCCCGCTCGTTTCCCGGGGTTTGTAGATTCGTAGCTGTAGATCGAGAAAAATCTCGTTTTTCAGTCACATGCCGTGCTCTTTTTTCGTTCTAATGTCGATGTTTGGTTGGATTGGGAGAATCCGATAGCTGTAGATCTGTAATGATAATTCTCACACTTGTTGATACGTACACGAGCTATTGCTCGCTTGTTAGTGTTGCTGTCTATAGTACTGCGTGAGAAAAATGGATCCTTTTTGCTTCTACAGGTAAAGTTTTGCTGGGTTTGGTATTCTTTGCATCCTCTCGGTGTCACAGGAAATCGGTGGTGGGATTTATGGAATGGATCTGTGAGTATCTTCTGTGGGATGCGTTCATTGACTGCGGAGGAATTCGAAACCCACCAATCAGATAGCGGAAGGAGACGGAGGAGGAGGTGATCGTAGAGGTCACGAATCCGAAACAAAGAAAAATAAAGGATGGGAGAAGATTTCCTCACGACCTTATCCATTGAGAATCATCACCCCTCCACCCTCCTTTCCATGGATCCATCGGCTGGCCTGGTGTTGTCTTCGTCCCACGAGGACCTGGACCGTGAGCTCTTGATCCAGCGCCATCAGGTTGTCATCTCTGTGGCGCCAGACATCAACCTACCCCTCTCTGCAGATCGCTATTCTTCCCAGCAATCATGGAATTCAGATTCTTGTGACACATTGGATGTTGGTCTTGGCCCACAGACCTATGATGCGGAGACAACCCTCCACATCCCAAGGGTCACCGCCGCCCGCAAGTGCTCCAAGCGAAGCGACAGCATTTGGGGTGCATGGTTCTTCTTCAGTTACTATTTCAAGCCTGTGCTCTCAGAGAAGTCGAAGGGAAAGGTCATCTGGGATGCGAATGGGGTAAATGGCTTCGACAAGTCTGATGTCCGGCACGATGTGTTCTTGGTGCAGCATGACCTGGAGAACTTGTACATGTGGGTTTTCAAAGAGAGGCCAGAAAATGCGCTTGGGAAGATGCAACTGCGGAGCTATATGAATGGCCATTCCCGTCTCGGTGAGCCTCAGTTCCCATTCAGTGTCGAGAAGGGTTTCATTCGATCCCACAGGATGCAGCGCAAGCAGTACCGGGGACTGTCGAACCCGCAATGTGTCCATGGAATTGAGGTTGTCAAGTCACCCAATTTGATGATAATTCGTGAGGTGGATCGCAAGAAGTGGATGGAGCTCACAGGCAGGGATCTTAATTTTTCGATCCCACATGAGGCCAGTGATTTTGAGTCATGGAGGAATCTACCAAGCACCGAATTTGAGCTTGAGAGGCCTCCTTCGATGAAGAGCACTTCACATCCCCATCCGAAAAAGTTACCTAATGGCTCAAGTTTGAATTTGTCCTCCCAATCAAGTCATTCCAATGGCGAGGTGATGGACCTCTCTCCTGTCTGCAGTAAGCGCCGGAAGGACCTCTTTCCCCATGCCATGGATGAGGATTTCTGCTTTCCTACAAACTCACATGCTGAGAAAGGTCAAGATGTGGAGATGCACCAAGTTGAACCCTCATGGCTGAACGAATTTACTGGTGTGATGAGGCATGCATATGGACCTGTGACTGCTGCAAAGACGATATACGAAGACGATGATGGCTACTTGATAATGGTTAGCTTGCCATTCGCCGACCAACAGAGGGTGAAAGTTTCTTGGAGGAACAGTGTCATGCATGGTATACTGAAGATAATTTGTGCCAGTACTGCCCGGATGCCCTACGTAAAGCGGCATGACAGGACCTTCAGACTCACTGACCCTTCTCCCGAGCATTGCCCTCCAGGGGAATTCGTAAGGGAAATAACACTACCAACACGCATTCCTGAAGATGCCAAGCTGGAAGCATACTACGATGAGACTGGTGCTTTGCTTGAGATTATGGTTCCAAAACACCGAATTGGACCAGAAGAACATGAAGTACGTGTGTGCATGCGTTCCCCTCACTTTGGGACTAATGATCTTCTGTTGGCCTGAATAAGTGGTGATACTATTGTGTGAATCCTGCATCAGGAAAAGGGGATTAGTCATATTGAAGTGCATCTTTGGTGTTCTCAAAATGAGTTTGCACATTAGTTAGTTCGCCGCATTGATTTGCTTATTCTTGCTTCTTGAATTGTTGGATGAGAAGTCTTCGTGGAGCTGCTGTAGGAAGATTAAAGGTGGATAAATTGGACTTCTCGTTCTCTAGTTGGTGTTCCAGCGGGTCAAACCAGTTGTTAATTTAGAACAAGAATATGTATGTAAACGTTTGCTTTCTAAGCTTTTATGTATTTTCACCCTAATCATAATGACTACTGTATGTCACTTTTGTTCTTTTATCTTTGTGTTTGTTTGTTTTGCTAAGATAGTGAAAAGTGTTTTATGTAGGGTAAAGACAAAAGGATTAGTTGAATGACTTGAACTGTTGTTCCAAATTTAGCTGTTAAGACTCGTGGAATTACCAGCTAATTTGCTGCCACTTGCTAATTTGTTTCACCTCAATACCATAAACATATCCAGTATCGTATGCTTCCCTTATTCAAAAGAGAAATACACAGGCACAGAAACTCCTAAACATACATAAAAGATAAAAAGGACGCGAGCCAAATCATAAACTCGTCGAGTCGCTTAGCTTCTGCTGATACGAGGCTTTAATCAACTTCCTCAATCTTTGGCCCTGCACCACTGCTGCCTCCGGTGCTGGGAATGTCCTCGTCCATACCACCGCCCATTCCACCGCCAGCGCCCTGATACATCTTTGCGATGATCGGGTTGCAGATGCTCTCCAGCTCCTTCATCCTATCCTCGAACTCGTCGGCCTCGGCCAGCTGGTTGCCGTCCAACCAGCTGATCGCCTGCTCCACTGCGTCTTCGATCTTCTTTTTGTCCTCCGCCGGCAGCTTCGCCGCTATCTTCTCGTCCCTAATGGTGTTCCTCATGTTGTAGGAATAATTCTCCAAGGCGTTCTTCGCCTCGATTTTCTTCTTGTGCTCCTCGTCCTCCCCCTTGTACTTCTCCGCCTCCTGAACCATCTTCTCAATCTCTCCCTTGCTCAGCCTCCCCTTGTCGTTGGTGACGGTAATCTTGTTCTTCTGCCCGGTGGTCTTGTCCTCGGCGGACACGTTTATGATGCCGTTGGCGTCGATGTCAAAGCAGACGGTGATCTGGGGGACTCCCCTGGGAGCAGGGGGAATGCCCGACAGCTCAAATTTACCGAGGAGGTTGTTGTCCCTGGTTCTTGTCCTCTCACCCTCGTATACCTGAATCAGGACACCGGGCTGGTTGTCGGAGTAAGTGGAGAAGACCTGCTCCTTCTTGGTGGGAATGGTGGTGTTCCTCGGAATCAAGACCGTCATGACACCTCCAGCTGTCTCCAGACCCAGGGAGAGAGGTGTGACGTCGAGCAATAGCAGATCCTGGACCTTCTCGTTGCCCTCGCCACTCAAGATGGCAGCTTGGACTGCGGCGCCATAAGCAACGGCTTCATCAGGGTTGATGCTCTTGCAGAGCTCCTTCCCGTTGAAGAAGTCTTGGAGAAGTTGCTGAACTTTGGGGATCCTCGTCGAGCCACCAACGAGGACAACATCGTGGATGCTGCTCTTGTCCATCTTGGCATCTCTCAAACACTTCTCCACGGGCTCCATACACTTCCTAAAGAGGTCCATGTTGAGCTCCTCGAACCGAGCTCGCGTAATTGTAGAGTAGAAATCGATGCCCTCATAGAGGGAGTCAATCTCAATGGTGGTCTGAGCAGTCGAAGAGAGAGTCCTCTTCGCCCTCTCACAAGCTGTCCTAAGCCTTCTAAGCGCCCTGGGATTGCCACTGATGTCCTTCTTGTGCTTCCTCTTGAACTCCTGAACGAAGTGATTCACCATCCGGTTGTCAAAGTCCTCGCCACCAAGGTGAGTGTCACCAGCAGTGGCCTTCACCTCAAAGATACCCTCTTCGATGGTGAGAAGAGAGACATCGAAGGTGCCGCCACCGAGGTCAAAGATGAGCACATTCTTCTCACCAGAAGTTGTAGCCTTTTTGTCCAGACCATAGGCAATGGCAGCAGCAGTGGGCTCATTGATGATCCGCAGAACATTGAGCCCCGCAATGACTCCGGCATCCTTTGTGGCCTGCCGCTGCGAGTCGTTGAAGTAGGCAGGGACCGTCACCACCGCATTCTTGATGGTGGTTCCGAGGTAAGCTTCGGCAATCTCGCGCATCTTGATGAGGACCATGGAGGAGATCTCTTCGGCAGAGAATTGCTTCTCTTCGCCTTTGTACTGCACTACAATCATGGGTTTGTCGCCGGGGCCAGCAATGACCTTGAACGGCCATAGTTTTATGTCACTCTGGACGGAAGAGTCACTGTATCGCCTCCCAATCAAACGCTTCGCATCTGTGAAGCACGTCAAAAAAAAGAAAAAAAACCAGATCAACATGCATATTCATTTGAAAGCAGGCATTTTTATATGAAGTATGTGCGCCGAAGAAATTAAAGCATCTGTTATCATATGATACTCAATGATTACACTGCAATAATGATGAGGGACTATTAATTTACATACCATGTATATTTCACTTGCAGATGTTTGCAACAATGTCCTAAAGCATCAAGGTGGTGTGGGAAAGCACACTGGATAGTGATACTAAAAGTTACATGCATATACAAGTAGAACTACTCTCAAAGGCAATTTTCTTTGACGTATTACATTCGTAATCCACAGACAACGTTACAGCTGCTTGCTATTGGTGATTTCTTCTGACGACTACTACTACTTTTTCTCCGGGAAGAAATTGTTATTATACCAAACAAAGACGTTTTTTGGAACAATTTTTTTTTAATTACACCAAAAAAGTAGCTTGACGTACAATAGAATTTTAATCAGTCCTTTTTCTATTTTTGGTCAATTTCCAACAAGAGATAGACTCTTCTATCAAATTCCAATTTTTAATTGGCCTAAAAAAAATATCCTGTGCACTTCCAAAAAAAAAAAGGAAACAAGCACGGAACCCCCAATTCAACAAGAATTATTCAAGAAAACACATTAAAGATTAAACTTTTAAGAGTTCCAAAATTAGAGAATGTTAAGAATTTTCTTCCCTAAGAGATAAATTCAGTGTTCTTTAAAACCAAACCGCGATGATATCAAACCTTTCGAACACAGTCACCGACACCAACATCTAAATCACATATTTACAGAAAAGAAGGGGAAAGAAAAGACTCACCAAAGACGGTGTTGATTGGGTTCATGGCCACTTGGTTCTTGGCGGCGTCACCGATGAGGCGCTCGGTGTCCGTGAAAGCGACGTAGGAGGGGGTGGTGCGGTTTCCCTGGTCGTTGGCGATGATCTCCACCCGGTCGTGCTGCCATACTCCGACGCACGAGTACGTCGTCCCCAGATCGATCCCGATCGCCGGACCCTCGCCTTTCCCCGCCATGCTCTCTATCGATCGAACTAAGAAGAAATCAAACTACGAAGCAAGATGTCAGAGGAAACGGGAATTCGAAGCAAATAGAGATTCTCACTTCTGTGATCGACAGGAAACGAGGTCTTGGTTTATATCATTGATCTGCGGTCTGGAAGCTTCGAATCGCGGAGTCCGGGCCGTCCGATCCCGACGAGATGCACGGTGGAGATGTCCCTTCCTCATCTCTGGCCGCTTCTAGAACCGTCTCCTTTGTTCTTTCGCGTTTGACACGGAACGTGTTCCGCCTCTGGTCATCAAACACGTTGAATCGTTCTATTGGTCAATCCGAGTCGGATCCGATATAATTAATTGCTAATTAGTTCCTATCCTTGAACTGCATTAATCTTTATGTTATACTCTTATTACACTTAGGGCCATGTCTCCACTACCGTCCATTTCGATGGTGATGATTGAGATCTGAGGATCCAACGGACGGTCCAGATGATCACCGTGCAAGCGCGTTAGATACCGTCACCAAATAATTTGCCCACTTTATTCTTTTTATCGGATTTTTTTTTCAAAAATAATTATTCTAAATGAAACCTTCCGGTGTTGAGAGGAATGCTATGTCACTATATAGTATTTTTATAATATTATACAGTACTTTATAGATAAAAATTAATTCATAAAATATTATAGATAGTTAAAAAAAATAAATTTGAGTAAAAAATAGCAACATTTTAAAGATATATATATATATATATTATTTATATATCGGCTTAAATTGACCAGAGGCTTTTATTCAGTTTAATTTTAAAAAATAATTTAAATGCTTCGGTTACTGTGTGGTTACCACGTCACGCACATAATATAGAATACAAGCTACTGCACATGGAAGACTCCAGAGAGTTCAGTAAGCCACGGACACGGCACGAACGACGTGGAGGTGTCTCAAACTGCTCCTTTTTTTCTCTGCCCCCTCATTTCTCTGACCAAATGACTCGGCCAGTGTCAGATTCCCACCGTTCGTATCGCCTGCACACTGATCCAAACAGGCATGTTTCCGGTGATGGCTATCCATCCTCCCATCGCTCCACTGTTCCGCCTCCCGTTTAAACTAATACCATTCAGGTTGAAGTCTGATGCTCGATGGACATGAAGAATCTTATCAGAAGCGTACTACCCGAAACGTGGCACGCAAGTGTTTTGTGGACCATAGACTCGTAGCTTTCTTGCTCCAAAGGTGAAGGTGGGCAAAGAAGTGTGGGCTTGAAGGTTAATCCCATTTCTTTTCTTTACTGTTCTGCTGCCGTAAAATCTTCCTCCACCAACCTTTGCAAAGCGATCATGGCTTCTGTCTGTGCCTGACAACCGAGGCACAGTGGGCCGCAGGAGCCCCGCCACTGGTCAGAAACCATGTTCGCGGGAACCAGCTGCAAGCATCCCAAAGCTTACAGTGCGCTGCCTCGGGAATAATGTAGGATGAGAAAAAGGAAACAGGGTAACTCCGCTTCAGCTGCTACCTAAACGACACCGGCGTACACTGCCTCAAAGTACGTGAACCAGTCGCCACCTTCTTTTTCTTCTGCCCTAACTCAAACACTACCACTCTCTCGCACCTTCTCACTCGACCACGTTAGAGTTATCCTGCTCCGACGCGTCGTTCTAAGCCACCAAAAGAGACCACCAGCCCCCCTTCACTCGCGTCTTTAAATTGGGCTCCATGGCTTCCGCCGATGCACGCTTACCCGATCTAGCGGTAGTAACCAGCCATGGCTTCCGCCTCTTGTCTGTTCTCGTCCTTCGCTTTGTTTCTTGTCATGCTCATGGTTCGGAGGTCCTCGGCTCAGTATCCAGCCATGACGCTGACGGTGGTGAACAACTGTCCGTTCACGGTGTGGCCGGCGATCCAGCCGAACTCCGGCCACGATGTGCTCGAGCGCGGCGGGTTCGCCCTCCCGACGGTGACCCACCGCTCCTTCCCGGCGCCTACCCAACACTGGTCCGGCCGCATCTGGGCCCGGACCGGGTGCACTTACGCCAACGGTCGCTTCTCCTGCGCCACCGGTGACTGCGGCGGCCGCCTCGAGTGCGGAGGCCTGGGCGGCGCCGCCCCTGCCACGCTAGCGCAGGTCACCCTCCACCACGGCGGCCAACAGGACCTCAGCTCCTACGGCGTCAGCCTGGTCGACGGATTCAACGTGGGGATGACGGTGACGCCGCACGAGGGGAAGGGGCGGTGCCCGGTGGTGGGGTGCCGCGAGAACCTTCTCGCCACGTGCCCGGACGTGCTGCAGCTGCGGGCTCCGGCGGGAGGCGGCCAAGTGGTGGGGTGCAAGAGCGGGTGCCAGGCGTTCGGCACCGACGAGCTCTGCTGCCGGAACATGTACAACAGCCCCCGCACGTGCCGCGCGAGCAGCTACTCGGAGTTCTTCAAGCACGCGTGCCCCGCCACCTTCACCTACGCCCACGACAGCCCCTCGCTCACCCACGAGTGCGCCGCCCCGCGGGAGCTCAAGGTCATCTTCTGTCACTGATCCAGATAAACCACTACTGTAGCCAACATCTTCCTTTGCTTAGATCTATGACTGTAGCGACTCATGTACCACTGTCGTCTCTCTTTGTCTCGTGTTCCATCTCTGTGGTTGCTCGTTTTCTTGTTAAACCGTGAATCCTCTTGGTGGGCTAGTTGCGGAATGCATGCTCGTGTGTTGAGGTTTAAGGCTCTCCCGTGGGAAGAAGAAGAAGACATCAGAGCTTTGTTTCTTGGGATGCGACAATGGTTTCTGAGCGGTGGCCTTTGGTGCTTCGGTGGGTTGTTTTGTACGTGGAAAGACGAGAAAAGGTTGCGTGGCGTGACTGAGCAAAAGTTCAAATTTCGAAATAGAAAGAGAGGAAAAGTAGAAAAAAATGTCCGAGACAAAGATAACTTCGAAGAGAACAGTTAAAAAGCTGAGATGATATTTAATGAAACACGTCCCTATATCATAAGACCACGCCATCTCCGTCCGTCTGTCATTTTGCTTTTGAGTCCACTCACTGAGAACAATATGATACTGGCCAGCTTGGTCTGGTTAAGAAGCAAAACCAAGAAATGGGAAGGTCATCTGCGAGCTTATGAATGATGAATTCAAATGCGAGCTTATGAATGATGAATTCAAATGCGAGCTTATGAATGATGAATTCAAATGCGAGCTTATGAATGATGAATTCAAAGATATACTACTACTCTTAGACATCAGAATCAACTCATAGCATTCATTGAGTGCTGGTGCATAATACATAAGGAACATAATCTGTGTAAGAATCAGATGCTCGTGAAAGAAGAAGACGAGTCATAAACGATATGAGAAAGGCAGAATGTTAGACACATACATAAAACCTTTGCCAAGAAGGCATATGTAATGCGATTTTGTGATATCCAATTAGCTTTGGAAGATTCGTATCTAGTAGCTAAACGACATTATAACACGTCCTTTTTGGCTTATATCTATCGGAGAAATGAGCATCTCCTTCTACCCCTTTGTCAAGACTATTCACAAGATAATTTTCAAATGTCACGGACAAAGTTCTAAACAGGATGCTTGATGTAATACTTGTATATGTTCGTATCTTTCTGCTTGTTTATATTTTGCACAGCATGTAAAGGAACGATTAAAGGCTTAATAGTCCAATTTTAGTTGAGTTTGGTGGTCTTCTTAGGCTTGTAAATAGATGTTGTGTCACGTGGATACTTGTGAGAAATATTCAGTCTATAGTGGATCATTTTGACCCTTTGTTGTGTAACCGTTCAGAGCTTGTAAAGTCTGTTTATAATTTGCATTGTTTATGAGGTGTTTTTTAAAATGTTTACTTGTTGATCCCGAGTGAAGCGCTTTCTCTAACACGTTTTCTCTTTTGTAAATCCTAAGGGATCATGAGAGATTTTGGGGAGACTGACCTTTGCGGACAGACACTCAAGGGTGTCGCACGACTTAGGCAAAACCAGCTAAGTCCATGACACAAAAGTGAAGGATATGTGATGCTAAATGGATTTGACACAATAAAAACTTAAGGGCTTTTATCACATTCAAACCTACCATCATAAAATGGACAACCATGATCGATTCCTGAGTAATGTGTAGATCCCGATCTCTTATTAGTATATTAATAATAGGATTACGATATGTGGACATATATTATCTTTATCAGGTTGGCACTTCATGTCCGTGTGATACAAATTTCGATTCCTTTTTAGGCAACATAACATAAACATCGAATAAGGTCATTTAATTTCACATTAATTGAGGAATAGGGGAACCAATGACTCATAAAGTTTGTCATGTCTCTTTTACCCTCAAAGATATTTTTTGAAGCTCGTATGCTTCAAAAAGATAAAACCGTACGGGTACATCCTCCACCCAAAATAGATGCACCAATGACTAGTCGGTCAAATTGAACAAACTCCCTCCCAAGATTGACTCAATAGATCTTTGCTCCAATTTGAATGTACGATTTCATGATTTTACTTATAGGTGCACATAATCATTTCTTTCTATATAGACTTCGACATTTGATCAAATCTTCTAAATGAGAATTAACTTAAGTATTAGACAACTCTTAGTTTTGACTTGGGTTATTTCTTCACTCAACATTCTATCATTATTGACTGACACGTCATGTCCATGTAATTTGATACTTTGACTCCTTTTAACCAACATGTCATGAGAGTCCAAATATGTGAAGTAGACAACACACTACTAACAAAAAGGATGATTCAACCAGACATAATCGATCATATAGTTCTAATGAAAGGTTGACTCAATAGTTCGATGTACGACTTCATTGACTTATGCTCCGACAATGCATATAGTCATTCCTGACATTAATGATGATTACAAACCCAACAATCATATGCTATACTATATAAAGGCCCATGATACATTCTGAATACTAGTCTAATATATAAGATCTCAATTAACTCGAAATTAATATCCGCGTAAAATAACCTAAAGATATCCTCATTAAATTCGAACAACTGTGATGTGATGAGTACTCATCAATAGCTTCGTTGGTAATTTCGATCATTTTATTTGGATGCGATGATTACCGTCAATTACACGACACCATAATGGGATCACGTCC